TACTCCTTCTATCCAAGACGACTCATCCCAACATCTAGCAACCCTCCAAGACGACTCTTCCGCGTCACAGGTGTTTGGAACGATACATTTACTTATACCCGAAACCCCAAACACATCCAACAAAAACACCCGAACCCCCCGCCCCGAGTCCAACTAACTCATTTTCACTGGAACCTTCTAGGGATCCCAGTCGTACCTTCTCAGAAGGTAGACCTTGCTGGCACCTACATAGTGTCGAACACATCACCTACATCATATGTGGATCCCTCTAGGGACCTCACACCAGCCTCCCAAAGCCTCGGAGTCGTCGGAGTCATCGTGTTCAGAGTCGCTCGTGGTCTCATCGAGTTCGGAGGTCCGGCATCGGAGGGCCCGGGAGAGGAAGAGTTGGGCGAAGCATCCTCGGTTTCGAGTCATTGTTTCAGGCCCAGTGAGTGTCAAATCCGATGTCGAAGTCGAAATCCGGGAGCGATTCGCCATGAATCGAATGAGTCCGCCAGGTGTCATGCAGGTGTCATGCAGGTGTCCTATCCTTCGCAAACTTTGTTGGACACTCGCGTGGTGTATTCACCTCCAATGAAATCAAATTGATTTCCACGGATTGTTGATTCATGCTCTGATGTTCACAGCGGGAGAGGAAATCAAAGTCTGTTCTGCAAAGCCAAGCATCTGCCGCAAGGGAGCTTCAAAGTACCGCGAATGCCCGCACAAGCAAAGAACAACACCAGAAGAAAGGACAAATGGTACATAAACACAAATGAACTATACAAGGCAGGGATTTCCAGGAAGAAAAGAAACATAATCGGACCCATTGTCTTTGACAGCACGTTGAGCATGAAGCATCGTTCGTCAATGGAACGGGCCAAAAGGAGAATCAAGAAGCAAAGCCTAGTAAGTATTGATAATGCTTGCATGAAAGCAAAGGACCAGTTGATTTGAGACCAGCGGATGTCAGCAATTTCATCATCAATGCATGGAAGAAGGTGCCAGAAACTCAGCAGCAAAAGAGGCCCAAGCACAAGTGCAGGGACTGCCACCTGAACAACCCCTGCATGCTCAAGCTCAACTCCTTGCAAATGTGCATCTCGAAGTGCATCCGACGTCAGTCCAGCCTTCAACAGAACTTGAATTACTTTGTCCACTTCATCAACTTGGTCACCGATTTCATGTCGAATGTTTAACTCATCTTTACTGTCTGAACATGACGCTCGGCGCACGGATCCTTGAAAGTTGTTTTGTAGTTCCTCTGCTTGTTGCATTTCAGTCTGCCAGTTGACCCGGTCCAGCTCAGACAGTAGGAAATATACAAGGATGCAAGCTCTTGCAAATCTATAGTTTGCAGCTTGTCTGGCTGTGATTTGGGGATTGAGCGGCAAGAGTTCATGGTGTGCACATGCGATTACAGCGGCTGCGCTCGTGGCGAGCCCCACATGGTTTGCGATCAAGCAAAGCCTGATCTGACCAGAGTTTTGACTCACAGGGATTGCCAAAAACGCCAACATTCTCATCATCACAATCAAGTGCAAAACGCTTTTAAACTCCTCGGATAATCTGCCAACCATGATGCCTGCCAGTAGTGCAGGAAACATCCTGAGCCAAGCAAACAACACTTCTCGCCAAATGGGAGGCGTAGCCGTCCGAATAATCTTGTTGCTTTGAAAGGCCAAGTAGGCTTCATATCCACACCACAGCCTCGTGTAAACACTATTGTGTCTGTTCGGAACCACAAGCATGTACTTTGCATTCTGCAAGGCAAGTGCAAAGGGAGATGATGACGGAGACTGAAGTAAAGCACCAATATTTAAATTCTGTGGAATAGCAAGCATGCAGCACCATGCGTGATGTGCACGCCAAGGCCAAGAAGTCAGCACCTTTTCAGTAAACTCAAAACAATCTTCCTGCCAGGCATGAGTAATGAACAAATCACAGTCGAGCCCTTCAGGATTCATCATTAACGCCCAGCTCATTTTCCCAGCAGCAGCTGTGACTGGCTTGATGTAGTTCTCATTCACAGCATAAATGCTTGGCCCACGCGAATCCTTGAAGTTCTCCTGAAATGTTCCCTCTTGGATAGCTCTCCGGACTCTGACTGGAAGAACTGGAGATCAGCGAAGGTGACGCACCACCTGAGGGGATTCTGAGGGGGCGCAGTGTCCAGGTACCTGAGTGTCTACACCTGGGAAGCCTGTGGGAAGAACTTCCGCACTTCCGCTGCTTCTTCAGTTCGCGACCGACGAAGGGCCATCTTCTGGTTGGTTCCGTAATTTTGTTGGTTGGGCCTGTCACAAGGCAAAACAAATACTCCAACAATGATTTTTGCCCCTGGAAAGAACAAAGGGGGTCGATGACAGGTATCATATTTCATCGTATACCAAATGTAAGCGCCAGGAGGGTTTGAGAGGCGGCAAAGGATCGCTATGTACCCTAAGAATCATTGGCCCCAACACCTTCGCAGGGGTCCAGACCCGACCCCAAACCCTATATGTGTTGGTTCGGGCCCTGATTCTGATGGGCAGAAAGCAGGTCTACGGCAACCCTTCGCCGGTCTACCCCACAACCGCCTCGACTCAGTTGGTGAGTGAATCTTAAAGGGTGCGGTGGATGTTGATCCCTTAAACCTCCTTATATAGACCTCTAAGAAAGGATATCCAAAAGGTCACCAAGGTCACCGAGGCTCACATTCACATCAGCTGAGCACATTTGGGTCACCAGTCGGTCACCTGTTGGAAGAACCGGTCACGCTTCCAGCCCGCGCCGGTCACGGCTTCGCCGCTTCGCCGCGACCTCGCCCGACCTCAAGGGCTTCACCGTGCCATGCAATTCCACGGCACCCGCGGTGGACGTCCGATGTAGGATCGGTGGACGAGCCATGGCGGCGAGCGCGGAGAAGATCAGAGGTGAGAGAGTGAACTAGGCCGAGTGAGATGTGCGCGGCTTTTGGGTGAGAACAACATGGAATAATAGCTATACCCGGACTCCCAAGGCCCCAGGGGTGGTTAATGGACACGAATCACAGCTTTTTGGGGCTATTGACATAGACACCCCGACAGGAGGGTCCTGGTAGAAGCACCTGGGGCAAAAATGTCCGCCTCAGTCCAAGATAGTCCAAGTGTCCAGAATTCGCGGAAGAATGAATCATGACCCCGCCCTTACAAGTCCAGTCTGACCCAGTCTCCTGGTTTCTAGAGTCTATTCTAGCCATGTTTCGACCTGAGGTCACCAGGTCCGTGCCAAACAGGGGGAGGTGTTGCTGAAAAACTCCTTGCTGGCTGTGGGGATGACCAACGATTTCAGACGATTCTCTGGGTGCCCCCACGAATGAGTCGGGGGTGCACTTTTCTAGAAATCCAGTCGTCGTGCCTTCTCAGGTTAGGTGATTGGAGACTATTTGTGTAGGCTTGGAGGGCCCAAGTACCGCCTGAGAAGGTATGTGGATCCCTAGGGGTTAAAAAGAGAAACCAAACTCACGTAAGACTCGACCCAAAGATTTGCGGATGCAAAGTTTCAAAGGCAAAAGGTTCACGTTTTCCTCAGAGCACCATGGGACTTTGGGAGAAGTATTCATGCACAGCCCTATGATGATTACAATGAGTGTATATATAAGTGCTTATAAGTGTATGATCCTCAATCAGCTGAATGTGTCCATTTAAGACGTCGGATGCATGTGAAACGTATTTACATTTACAGGTTCCCTCCCCGAACATGTTTGTATGCAACTGGCCACCCATGACCTGCATTTCGTTCCGGTCATCCAGGGGATTTCCTCATCATCTCTCACCCTCGAGAAGCGGCTGGACTCAGGGCCTTCGGCTGAAAAAACATGTGCGGGCGCTCGTTTGCGCGCGGTACCGCCCTAAAACCGACGTCTTCGTCCTGCAAACTCTGGACCAGGAACATGTCGACGCAAGGTCTTGTGCTGAAACAACCTCCCAAAGAAATGCAAGACGTCTTGTGTCACAAGGGAAAGGACCGCTGTGTTTCAGTTCCAAACTATGATACATTCATGGACGGAATGAAGCACCTCACAGGTCTCTGTCTTGGAGGCTGTTTTCAAACACAGCTGTAGTTGGGACGGAGTTTGAGAGACCATCCGATTTTCTTATACTCAAATTGGCAGGACCAACAGAGGTTGAAGAACCCTATAGACTATCCCATAGGTACCCCAGTAGGTCCTATAAGGTCACTTAACCTCTCTTGGTAGGCAGGACACCCCAAACAGCTGGTCCAAACATGTTGCCCTAACGGATTACAACCACCTCCGTGCCACGATGGTCGCTCACCCGCCAAGATGGTGCACCTCGGGGGGGTCTAACCACCTGAGATGGGCCACAAGGAGCCCTCGGAGTTGGATCACATTCTTGTTTTGGGCAGTGGGTCAAACCCCCCGTAACCTTGGTTGACCACCGAACATGAACCGATTCCTCGATGTTCGGGATGTCAAGCCACCAGGATTTGGGGCTCCAGGTTTTTTCTGGACCTTTCAGCTGAGCTCCGACCCCAACGAGGAAGACCTAGATGACTCGCTGCAGGTCTCTGGCGACTCGTGCGATGACTCGTGCTCCCCGGAGCATGCCACGACCCGGGACAAGAAGAATTGGACCAAGAGTCCTCGGGCGCCGATCGCGCCGAAAACGGCGCGATCGGAGGCGGTTCGATTGGCCGATCCGACGCGGCTCCTCGAAAGCGAGCGACAGTCGAATGGGCTGACTGAAGAGGAGAACACCATGCGGCAAACGGAAAGGTCGAAACAGACCAGGTACTGCGCGGCAGGCACTGCGCGGCAGGCACTACCAGCCATTCACTTTGGACCTTGAAGAACTGGTCCAAAACTCTACAATGAATATATTCACTCACCCAGCCATACCCAGCCAGCTTCTCCTCCCTAGCTTTTTCTGGGGTATATCGTCCCATGTGTTCCTTTTTTGAACTTCCGCCCCTGAACCACCCGGTCACAGGTCACACGCAGGACCTCAGGTCACCACCCCCGTCCACCGGCCGGGCCAGGCCACCGGTGGAGCTCCCGGTCACAGGACCGTCATCTGGGACTGGCATGTTTGACTAGGTCGGTGTGAATGTAGGTGTAGAAACAAGCCAGTCCCATGGAGTGTCTGGGTATGGTTATAAATATGATAATATATCCAGCACCTTCAAAGGGGTCACCAATGGAAGCCCCTACACTACCTAGGGATCTCCATTGGACACCCCTTTGAAGGTCCAGGATGGTGTGCATTTGCATTCTATTTTCAGGGGGTTGACCCTTGTACGGGCTAGGTCAATACACACCTCAACCTTCAAAGGGGTGCTCAATGTAGGTCCGCTATGTAGTGGGCTGGGTAGTCTGTCGATTGGAGACCCTGTCACGCAGGTTGAATTCTGTGGCAGCTGCAGGGAGTTGCAGGGCATCAGCCCAGAAAAGCTGGAAACAGAATCAAACAAACTGCAACAATACCTATAGAAAATTAGATTTTTTGGGGTATGCACCCAGAAAAAACTTCAACAGCCAAGAATCTACCGCATGGTAACTTCAAAGTGCCACGGATGCCGAGAGCTGCAAAGAAAAGAAGTACCAGGAAGGACAGGTGGTACAGAAATATCAATGAGCGATATAACGCCGCAATCTCCAGAAAAAGACAAAACAACATCGGAGCCACGGTCTTCGCCACTGCATTGAGCATGAAGCATCGTTCGTCAATGGAACTGGTCACGAGTAAAGTCAAGAAGCAAAGCCTGGTGACCATGGAAGATGTTTGCACAGCAGCAATGAACCAGTGTAGTGGTGTCCAGTGAGCTTGAGTCCAGCGCTCGTCTTGCGTGCAAACCAACAGAAGTCTGAGAAGAAAGTGCGAGCAATTCAACAGCAAGTGTGGCCCAAACACCAGCGCAGGGATTGCCACCTGAACAACCCCAGCATGCTCAAGCTCAACTCCTTGCAAATGTGCATCTCGAAGTGCATCCGACGTCAGTCCAGCCTTCAAAAGAACGTGAATTACTTTGTCAACTTCATCAACTTGGTCACCAATTTCATGTCGAATGTTTAACTCATCTTGGACTTGGGAACATGCAGCTTGTCGGATGGTTCCTCCAAACTGATTTTGCAGTTGCTCCGTCTCACTGATTTCGGTTTGCCAGTTCAACCGGTCAATTTCAGCCAGTAAGAAATATGCAAGCATGCTCACCCTTGTGTACCAAACGGTCGAAGCTTGTTCGTCAATGTTTTGCGGCAACAGTGGCAGGGCGTCATGCGGGTCTGACCATGCAATTTCCATGACTGCGGCTGCACCACTAGCTAAGCCTATATGGTTTGCAATCAAGCAAAGCCTGATCTGACCACAGTTTTGACTCACTAGGCTCGCTAAAAGCGCGAGCGTTCTCATCAGCAGCATCAACTGCTTGGCACCTTCCAAGTGGTGTACCTTTGACATACTGCCCACCATAAGACCTATCAAAAGTGCCGGCAGCATCATGAACCAAGCAAGCCACACTTGCCGCCAAATGGGAGGTGCGGCAGTCTGGATAATCTTGTTGCTTTGAAAGGCTAGATAGGCTTCATATCCACACCACAACCTAGTGTACACGCTCGTGTGCCGGTTGGGCACCACCAGCATGTATTTGGAACTCTTCAATGCAAGTGCAAAGGGAGACAACGATGGAGACTGAAGCAAAGCACCAATATCCAGATTCTGTGGATTTGCCAGCATGCAGCACCAAGCATGATTTGCACGCCAAGGCCAGGATGTCAGCACCTTCTCAGTGAACTCAAACACATCTTCCTGCCAGGCATGAGTAATGAACACGTCGCAGTCGAGCCCTTCAGGATTCATCATCAACGCCCAGCTCATTTTCCCAGCAGCAGCTGTGACTGGCTTGATGTAGTTCTCATTCACAGCATAAATGCTTGGCCCACGCGAAGCCTCGAAGCTCTCCTGAAAGGTTCCCTCTTGGATGGCTCTGCGGACCTCAGACTGGAAGAACTGGAGATCAGCGAAGGTGATGCACCACCTTGCTGGGTTCACAGTTTCATGCAGTTCAATCGCTGAATCGGTTGAAATGCGCTGCCTCCGGACTGGCAAGGTGTCCGCGCGGCGAAATGAGGTCAACATCGCTTAAGGATTTGGCATCCTAATGATACATCCAAGTTAGAAACTGCCACTACCACAGCTGTTTCGGAAGGTAAGTCTTCCCTACTGGCAGGGATGTGTTTGCCATTTGTTTTTTTGTAATTACTATCATTGGATCTGAGACTGGAGCTACTCAGCTACTCCTTTGAGTAGCTTAAGGCAATTTCTCCGAACGACTTCAATGGCGGTGCCTTCTTTTGTGACAGATGGAGCACCGCAACTCAGACCTCTTCCATCAACACCCCAACCAAGAGTCCAAAGCGAAGGGTATACTCAATCAGGTGGAGTGTACCAGGGTTGAAACTGTGTCAATGATGTAATTAACGCTGTTGATGGTTTAACGCCCCATGTAGATGTTTGTTCTAATTGTATTTTATGATCTAGGTAGGGGGTTAAGTCATCAACAGTGCAGCATTCATTCAATAGAGATTCTTGGTGTTTATGGAGTCTCTGGGACACGAGCAGGCGATGTCTCGGAACTCTCTGATGGTGTCAGCCACAACTGTAGAGTTTCCATCCACAACTGAACGATCCCCTAGGGATCCAGTGGTACCGAACCTCAGGCTAGGTGATGTGTTCGACACTCTTATTTGCCGGTGCCATGGTCGGGTCCAAGCATACCGTACCTAACCTGAGGTTCGGCACAACTGGATCTCTATAGTAGAGTTTCCATCCACACCAGAATCCGAACGGCCCTGTCCAGGGGTCGGACCTTCTCCACCGAAACGCAGGACTGCATGCCTCAAAAAGCCGATCTGCTTCGGGCGCGGAGTCTTAGGGCACCACAGATCTCGTGACCACGAGTTCACCGACGCGGCCGGGCTCACAGGGCCGTTGGCTCACAGGGCGCCCTTGGGCCGGACGACCAGTTCTTCTCCCATGTGAACTGTTGGGGGCTCGGTAGAAGCGACAGGGATGTCAACTATGGCCACCTCCCGGAGATCATGTTGGGTAAGTCTAACCTGGAAGACCACCCAAATTTTTTCTACCCTCTGACTCACTAAGATGGAAGTGGACTTCATCACCTGTTTGTAGAGTTTTTCCTGGTCTTCCCAGTAGCCATGGCCGTGTTGTTTCCATGTGACGTGTTCCTCGGAAAGTCGCTTCGATCGCTTCTTCACTCATGCGGAGCTTTCGGGCTTTCAGGCCTTGAGACTAGACTTGCCAGGCTGGTGGAGGCAAAGGGGGTCCAATGGGGGCAGCATAGGTTCCATACCCAGACGCAACCTGTCTGGGACTGCCATATTTGCCTACGGTGGTAAGCATCTCTTCCAGTCCCAGACAGGTCGTGTCTGGGAGACACATCTTAGTCGTACCCTGGCAGCTTTCATGATTTGTTCCCACGTAATACGTTGAGGCTGTGGTAGACATCTTTGAATTTCCAGTCCTACTGGCTGTTGTTGCATGATGGAGACTTCAAGAAACATCAAGAAACAGTTTCTGGAGACGCCACCCGGATTCGACGCGCCGATATTTTGTGTACTGGATGATATGCCACCATTTTGCCACCATTGGCCATATACTCCTAGATGTTAGTCATTCGTCCATATTCGTCCTATGGAGTAGCCGTGGAAGGCTGATGACAAGCTATGAACATCGTGATGCTATGACCGTGTTGGGGATGCGACAATTCATCACTGACAAGCTCGAAGTGTGACCTTCGGTCATGGAAATTATGCCTGGAGTCTCAAAGTACTTGACCTGATCATGCGAGGTGGGTATTGATCTTTGTCTCTCTCCCAGTCACCCGTTTTGTGCATGTCTCTCGCCTTTAAGTCGTTTTTCTCCTCCAGAATCTCCAAGCATGGAGCAAAAGACCTGCTCAGTCGTGGGGTGGCGGTTGAGGTGATGCATCCACCCTCTGAGGTCCGATAGATTGGAGACTGATGTAGGCGCCAGGCGTTCGGGGCCATACCTTGTGAATCCGTCATGTCCCCCAAAGGACCAGTTGGACGCCACGACCAGCCGCCCGTGGCAAGGCAATACTCGACCGCTTAGTCTAAGGCTGGCATCGAAAAAACCCCTAACCCGATCAGTCGGAGTGCTTGAAGGTGCAAAATGCCAGGAATCCGGAGCAGAATGCTGTAGCGACTTTTGATCAGCCTTTGTGATGTCAATGTGTGTATGAATCCTTTCATCTCAAACAAAAACAGCTCAATTGACTTTCTTGTTGGCGGACGGGGAACCTCATGGGCTTTCATGTTCTGCCTTGTGGGGATTTGGTGCACCACTTGGACTGAAGAACCATTTCTTCACCTCAGTGGGGTACATGTAGCCACCAGAACCAGGGGTTTGGTTGAACGCCTTGAAGATGTAAACTTTTAGTACTACTCAAGAGAACAAGAATCTGGAAGAGGTCTGTCTTGATTCCTCTTCCCACCCTCCAACAACTCCTTCACATGCTTCACGGCGCTGACATCAGCCCTGATCGGTGATGTTTTCCGCGGCTGCAGGTTGGCAAACACTGCTGCCGCTGCCACACGTCTCCATACGCAACGGGCCTGCAAGGGGTCCCGGTTTCGTTACATGCCTTTCCAGCAAGTGGTAGCCCTTTCCAAACAGGTCACCCACTAAAGTCATGGGTCAATTGAGTTCCTCGATGTTCCCCTGAGCCAACCCACGAAGCCCAGAAAAACCCCCCCCGCGCACAAACACACAGCCTCACTTGCAAGCGATTTTAATCAACACATCGGACCAGATCGCCCCGCCACCATCCAGGAATCACGTCCGTTTGGAGACCCACCACAGGAGACACCTAGTCTTTGGTCAGCCAAAAGATCTGGCCATGCCGTCGATTCCATGCGCCCGTCCATTCCGTGCGCCAACCGAATAAACTCCAACTCTCCACATGTTCAGCTGCTTTCAGCCGTCCCGTCATCCTCCCCATCCGGAGAGCCGTCCGTGCTCTCATCCGTATCGGAGAGCCAGTACTCCACACCCGAAGAAATCTTCGGTCGGGGGAGAACCCTTGCAACGAAGATTTGGGTTAAGAATCTTCCACATGGCAACTGCAAGGTGCCCTGAATGCCCAAGACAGCAAACAACAGCACCACCAGGAAGGACGCGTGGTAGAGACTGAGGAATGAACAGAATAGGGCTTCATTGCCCAAAAAGCTGAGCTGAACGAAACAGAACAAGATCGGCGCCACGGTTTTGGCCATGGCATTCAGCATGAAACATCGTTCATCAATGGGTCGCATGACAAGAAGCGTCAAGAAGCAAAGACGTGCGAAGATAGACAATGCTTGCAAAGAAGTGATAAACCAATGAACTTGAGACCAATGAACATTTGTCGTTCGATTGTCAGGTGCATCAAAGAGGGTGATATATCGAGCTAAGTGCCACCCACCAAGCATCAGCAAAGGTCCGAGAACTATTATTGGAATTGCGAGCTGAACCACTCCAGCATGCAGAAGCTCCACCCCCTGCAAATATGCTGCTCGAAGTGCGTCTGAGGTCATACCAGCTCTCAACAGAACATGAATTACTTTGTCTACTTCATCAACTTGGTCACCGATTTCATTTCGAATGTTGATCTCATCTTGGACTTCTGAGCACGATGCATGGCGGATTGACCCTTGAAAGTGATGTTGTAGTTCTTCTGCTTGGCGCTTCTCTGTTTGCCAGTTCACCCGGTCAACTTCTGCAAGCAAGAAGTACGCAAGTATGCTAGCCCTCGTATATGTATATGTTGCAGCATGTAGTGTGGACGTCTCAGGAAGAAGAGGCCAGAATTCGTGTGGACAGGTGGTGCCGATGAAGGCAGCTACACCACTGGATAGGCCTACATGGTTTGCGATCAAGCAAAGCCTGTGATGACCGCAGTTTTGACTGACCAAGCTCGCCAAGAGCGCCAGCATTTTCATGATCACTACCAACTGCAAAGCCCGATGATACATCCCAACTTTTGATATGATACCAACAATGATACCTGTGAGCAATGCAGGAAACATCCTCAGCCAGGCAAGCAACACTTGCGGCCAAATGGAGGGCACAGCAGTGCGAACAATCTTGTTGCTTTGAAATGCCAAGTAGGCTTCATATCCACACCACAGCCTCGTGTAAACACTTTTGTGTCTGTTCGGAACCACAAGCATGTACTTTGCATTCTGCAAGGCAAGTGCAAAGGGAGATGATGACGGGGACTGAAGTAAAGCACCAATATTTAAATTCTGCGGAATAGCAAGCATGCAGCACCATGCGTGATGTGCACGCCAAGGCCAGGATGTCAGAACCTTCTCAGTGAACTCAAAGACATCTTCCTGCCAAGCGTGAGTAATGAACAAGTCGCAGTCAAGTCCGTCAGGATTCATCATCAATGCCCAGCTCATTTTGCCAGCAGCCGCCGTCACTGGCTTGATGTAATGTTCGTTCACTGCATAAATGCTTGGCCCATGCGAAGCCTCAAATGTCTCCGAAAAGGCCTGACCCTCTTGGATAGCTCTGCGGACCTCAGAATGGAAGAACTTGAGATCAGCGAAGGTGATGCACCACCTGAGCGGGCGCCCAAAACACAGCGGAGGAGTTGTTCTGACGCGGTCTGGTTCAATGCACTAGCTGCCTGGCTTAGAGTTCTTCGTCACAAAAAAAGGGTTAGGCTAAGGAACACTGAGTATCACTGGGTTTCTGACTCACCGCACCCCGTATCTAAGGCATGTGGTAGTCAGTGGGGATGCCAAATAGAATGCAGTGCGGAAGCCGCCCAAAAAGATCCACATACCCTCCCTCCAACAATCATGGAAGCGGAAAACGGCCTGTGTTACTAGAGGAAAACAGTCTTCTAGGGGTCACCTTCCACCTCCATATTTGTTGGAGAGCGGATGATAGTATATCCTGTGTGGTGGCAAGTCTGATGGGTGCTCTGACGATCTCGGCTCACAGAAAAATGGGATGCAAACACCTTCCGTAACCGGGGTCTCCAATAGACTACCCGGCGCTCACTACATGGTAGATCTTAATTTGAGCACCTCTTTGATAGGTCGAATGGCCCTGCGGCTTGACCCAGAGCTGAACCTGGGGTACATGTGTTTTTGGAAGTGCAGGTCACACGCACCAACACTTGGGAATTGCACCAACACTTGGGAAACGGGAACAAAACTCATGGTCTTCACCTGTCTGCCGATTTACCCTTCATAAAGCAAGACGTGTCTTCATCCTAGAGCAAAAAGCAAAGAAACAGGACTGTGTTTTCGATGCATGATGCATCTGACATGCATATCTTCAGGACCCTCTTACCTCCCTTGTGAACGTCGACGACTGCCCCAGAAAACAACGAGTCGAGCTGACCGAGTCGCGCTTCACTTCCGAAGAGTCGCGGCCGTGGAGTCGCGGCCACGGAGGGAATGTCCCGCCCCCAAGGCATCGAACGAAGCAAACCAACCTTCATGCGTACTTGGGAGTCGACCTGGATCGTACCTTCAGAAGAATGGGTACAAGTACGATATTTTTCGAGTATGTACATATACCTGTTTTCTACATAGGGTCAGACTCCCATGTTCTAAGATACGTAGGGTCAGTCGGGTCCAGGTGGTTGAGTGGGTTCTTCTCCCGACACTTTCCCCCGAAAAGGGGCTGGAAGTGATCCGAACTCGGATATTATCCACCCTGTAGATCCGAACTCGCGCGAGTTTTTCAGCGAGTTCGAACTCCACCTGCCAGGCTTCACGGCATGATGAAGGTGCTCCGCGTGCTCGGTCAAACTCCGATAAGCCATGAGCTGCAGTAGGAGAAGGAGTCGCGGCGGGGGGGATGGAAGCGGCAAGCGTGAGGAACTGTTTTAGTGTCTTTTTGTTTCAGAATGGTTCATCAAGAGTGTGGACAAACAAAACACACACAATGCCATAGAGTGTGGCACCAGCCTCGTGACATATCATCTGTACGAGTCCCAGTTCATCCATACCGGACGCCACCGGACCAAAAAAACTCAAAAATAACAGCGTTTACTTTGATGTATCTTCCATGCAGCATCTCTGAGTGCAGCAAGAAAACATAGAGATCTTCCGTGATTGGGTGGCTGCAGTGTTCTTTAGCTTGGTAGGCTGTTGATCTGTGGACATGATCAGTGCGCTTCTTGAGCAGGACAGTATCTCCTCACATTCCATATACAGTATATCAGTATATCTGGGACCGTATCCTATCCCTACAGGTCAATGACCTCATTTTACTTTGGTCATACAAAAGCACTGTTCAAGCAACCAAACGACCTGGTTTTACTGGGCCTTTGGACTTGTAGGTATGACATATTAGGCTTTCGGCCAAAACCCGCACTCAGAATCCCTGCTAGGTCTAGATTTGGTTCATGTTCAGTGGTCAACTGTGGTCAACCAAGGGTCGCCAGTTTTGACCCGCAGCCAAGGGTCTACCCGTACAACAGTTCGGCGAGTCTGGAATCGTAGGCGGTCATGCTGGTTGCCGGCAACCCCACGTCAGTGCCTACCAGCGAGGCTTGGACCAGGTTCAGGTTGGCCCATGGGGAAGCCCTGCAGAAAGAACCCTGCAAACCAAATGTCCACGATCCGATGGTATCTCCTGCTTTATTTTTGAAAGTGGCTTCAAAATGTTTCAAAGTAGGTGGCGCAACCCCCTAAATGTCGTTGAACCGGGGGTTATGTCCGTATAAACATATTTATATAACTACCACATTTTGGGGGATTGTGCCATCTACTCTGCAACCACGGTGGATAAAAAAAAAGCTCAAGATAGCTTCGTTTGCTGACTCCGGTGCTGTACATGGTTGTGAGGTCTCCTCTTCACTTCGACAGGCCTCAGCAAATGATGAAGGACAAGAGACCCAAGCACCTCAGACCATCCAACGATATAGCTATATACTATAGAAACTGTTTGTCTATAGTTATTAGTTATAAGCTATACCTATATATATTATCTTATGTATATATATATATAATATATATAAGCTATATAACACTATTATATATATATCGTATATATGAGAATGGTCATTTCCATGGTGTAAATGCATCTAACATCATGCAACTCCTAACCACCAGTCCCTACCGCTCAGATGCTCCGGTGATCTCCGGTGTCCATCTCTCTGGCCATCCCTCCTCACCTAGGTCGAGCGGCGCTGCCTCAGCGCGGTTCAGACCTCAGCGTGGTTCAGATCTTCCGCGGATCCACAGATCCGCCGATGCCATGACACCGACCCAAAAACGGGAAACTGGTGGCTTCACCGACCCTGCCGCCGTCTCCGTCACCTTCCTTTCGCCGCCTCCCACGTCCACGACCCGCCTGTGGATCGATAGGAGAGTCAACCGGGACCCACACATCCTGCACCTCGACCCTGGTGAGCGCCCCAAGCAAGCAAGCCGACTGGGACCGGAGCCAAGAAATCCCATGACCCGAACGTCCATCCATGGATGGCATCTCGACCATCTTGGCGCGCCCCTTTTCCCGCCTCCCGGTCCTCCGGATGGGTACTCATCCGCGAAGGTCTCTCCAAGCAACACTAGTAGCGTGTCGCGAACGTCACCGCCCGCACCTGAAGGGACTCACGCGTGCGCATGGTACTCACCTTCAGCTACTTGAGCTACTTGAGCTACTTGAAGGTACTCAGCTTCAGCTACTGGAGCTTTCAGAATCCGATGCGTCGCTCTCCGACGGGGAGGGTCCGCAAGCAGGTCCCACCAGGCGAGACAAGAAGAACTGGGCCAAAAACCGTCCGCAAGGTAACCTCACTTGGGCCAGGTCAAAGCCACAAACCAAAACAAAAAAAGGTTGATGTGCAGGAGTCACAACGGGGTGGTGTTTAGTCCCTAAGTGAGTGGATAACGGGCACCCCTAACCTCCAATAAGCACCCCTTTGTGACTGCAAGTGGTTTTGCAGTTCTAGAATCTTTGGTGTAAAGCAACATGTAGGGCCTGCTTGGAATTTGAAAGAAGAACAATGTAAACAAAGAGGCACCATATTAAGTCAAAGGTGTTTGGAATCCTATAGGGAGAAGGCTTTCTACTGTTGTACTGTTAAATGAGAGAAAACGTGTTGGAAGACATTTGGCAGTGACTTCAATGTGCCGCGGATGCCCAAGGCAGCAAAGAATAACACCAGCAAGAAGGATAGATTGTAGAAAGTGAGTAGTGAAGAAAACATAGCTTCATTCCCCAACGGACCCAGTTCCACCAAGCAAAAATAGAATACGGTCACAATCTTGGCCATCACGTTCAGCATAAAACATCTTTCATCGATGGAGCGACTGAAAAACAAACACAAGAAGGCAAGCCTAGCAACGATTGAAGTGGCTTCCATGCATGCCATGAATGTATACACTCCAGCAATGGAATGATATTTTTCATAAAACAAGAAAATGTACCGCCCCAAATGCCACCAACCCAGCAAGAATAAGGGCCCCAGCGCCAGTACAGGAATGGCCAATTGAACAAACCCTGCATGCCGAAGCTCAACCCCGTGCAAATGTGCGTCTCGAAGTGCATTTGACGTCAATCCGGCTTTCATCAGAACCTGGATGACTTTGTCAACTTCATGAACCTGGTCACCAATCTCATTCCGGATGTTCAATTCATCTTGAACTTCAGAGCATGATGCATGCCGAATGGAACCCTGGTACTGATTTTGTAACGCTTCTGCTTCTTGCCTTTCTGTTTGACAGTTCACTCGATCAACTTCAGCAAGCAAAAAATAGATGATTATGCCAACACGATTGCTTAACTGTGTCACAGCCAAAAGCCCCTTCTTGCCGAGCAAAGGAAGGAAGCGAAAACCACTCAAAACTAATAAACCTCCGATGATAGCGGCTGCACCACTGGCTAAGCCAACGTGGTTTGCAATCAAACACAGCCGCATCTGTCCACAGTTTTGACTCACCAGGCTCGCAAAAAGCGCTAGCATTCCTCACTTGCTTTGTTTCAATTTCAGGTGGAAAAATGTGACGAAGCTGGGAAGCCTGAAAAAATATATAGACAAAAACAACAAAACCAAAGATTCCGCACTATAAGTATCACCCCAGATTCTCCCTATGAGTATCAACTCCTGGGCTAGTTGCACTCGTCCTACTTTAAAGACCATCCCAACAATCAGACCCAACAGCAGTGCAGGAAGCATCCTGAGCCAAGCCAATAACACTTCGCGCCCAATGGGAGGCGTAGCCGTTCGGATGATCTTGTTGCTTTGAAAGGCCAAGTAGGCTTCATATCCACACCACAACCTGGTGTAGACACTTTTATGCCGGTTGGGCACCACCAACATGTATTTGGAACTCTGCAAAGCAAGCGCAAAGGGAGACAACGATGGGGACTGAAGCAAAGCACCAATATCCAGATTCTGTGGATTTGCCAACATGCAGCACCAAGCATGATGTGCACGCCAAGGCCAGGATGTCAGCACCTTCTCAGTGAACTCAAACACACCTTCCTGCCACGCATGTGTGATGAACAAGTCGCAGTCAAGTCCTTCAGGATTCATCATCAACGCCCAGCTCATTTTGCCAGCAGCAGCCGTCACTGGCTTGATGTAATGTTCGTTCACTGCATAAATGCTTGGCCCATACTCCGCAAAGTTCTCCTGAAAGGTTTGGCCCTCTTGGATGGCTCTACGAATCTCAGATTGGAAGAACTTGAGATCAGCGAAGGTGATGCACCACCTCGCTGGGCTCACAGTTTCATGTAGTTCAACAGCTCGATTGGTCGGAAGGCGGTGACTGCGTACTGGCAAGCTTTCCGAGCGCCGAAACGCGGTCAACATCTTGTCCAGAGCTGCGTTCGGAAGGTCCTCTAAGGACTTACTAAGATCATACATATATCTATATTTACTATATATATTATATGATAATATATGATGATGATGATGATATATGATGATATACAATGACGATGTAGATTAGAAACTACCACAGCTGCTTGGCAAGGTGATGTTTCTGTTGGCAACGTGTTGGAATGTTTAGAACCTGAGCCTGCCGGAAGTCATATGTCATGGTGCCAAAGGCGCATGAGGAACGGACTCAGATTGGGATGGGTCGTTGGCTGGTCGTGTCGTGGATCCAACACTTGCTCCTTCTGAAGCTTCGTTTCGCTGCCAGCCCATCGTCCAATCAGTTCGGAACAGTTCCGATATTGGTTGGTTCCGGATTCGCATTCCGCAGCTGAGGTGTTTGCTGATAAACCCTCGAGATCCGAATTCAGGGGCGTCCTTCTGCTTTGGGGTTGGGGAGTAATCAATCATGTTCATGGATCGAATGATGAACAAAGGTCCCTTGACATGAAGATGAAGGGGAAAATTCTTCTTCGCTTTCTTGCGCTTTGGGCTTTGAAAGATCCTTCAGCCTGGATTCAGTGCAACCCATGAAATTGGTGTTGGCGACACCTGGAACTGACCCAATTCTTACAAGAAGCACACATGATGACCTGAGGTGTCGGTACGACCACGACGCACGACCCGAAGGGTCAGAGCGCCGACCCATGGAGTCGACCTGTTCGCACCTTCAGAAAATGGGTATATAGATCTATATACTAGTTTTGTACATAGGGTCAGACTCCCATGTTCTAAGGTACTGGGTCAGTCGGGTCCAGGTATAGATATAAATAGTCTCGAGTCATCAGAATCGCCTTCTCAGGTTCGCTCACCGTGGATCCCTGGGTTAGGGACGACGTCATGGCCAAGCTGGGAGGACGGAGTTCACGGAGCCAAAACGCCGGCAGCCCTTTGGCCCTTTTGTTCTTTTGGCACCGTGGGGAAAAGAAGGGGTTCAAGCTGAATCACCTTAAAGGCAATTCCTGATCCTTCCCAGCAGTTCCATGTCGGAACGTTGGGAACGTTGGTAACGTCCGCGGCTGCGAGTTGTTGGGCCCCCTTCCAAGTGCGGCACCCCATGGATTGATCAGCGCTGGTCTCTTCCACCTTCAAGCGCTGCGGGACTGTGTCCGTCCAAAGGGTCCCAAACGAAGCGGTGCGACTGTCGAGTCCCAGCTCATTCCAGGTTCGCCTTCGACTGTCCGCGAGTCATGGGAAGTGGTCTGGTCATGGGAAGTGCTGCAAGCAGTGAAAGTCACCATTCAGCTTCAAGGGGTGTCCCGACCCAGAGACCCTGGATACAGTGCTAGGGCATGGCTGGAGCTGGAGCTGGAAGAGCCAGGTGACCCCCCTTTGAGTTGCGGATTTGCAGGAAAAATCTCAAGCTCTTCCGACTTTAAGACGTGTAAGTCATGAAGTCTGAGAAATCCATCAGACATCTGGGGAGGGGGGTTGAAAGGGATTGAAAGGAAACACACCAAAACAGGCCACGAGAAAAAACAACACCTCAAGCCTCAAGCTTGCCCAACAAAACCCAGGCCTCAGAAACGTCAGGATCCGCTACTCGATGCGTCGTCCGATGCGCTCGCCAGGTCGGAAGACTCGGTCTCCACCGGGTGGAACTGAGATGGAAGGCTCAGTCGTGAGACAAAGAATTGGGCCAAAAGCCTGCCACATGGTAACCTGCCAGAAGGGCCAGCTTGGGGACATGAACAAGGAAGTTGTTTGTTTGTATTTATTTGTTCTAGGATATTTTTTGGAGTTTGTTGGAGAAAGAACCTATAGAAGAGAAATGAAGATCGTGACTCTTTGGTGTGCGAGTAACTTCAATGTACCGCGGATGCCCAAGGCAGAAAAAAACGAGCACTGCCAAGAAGGAAAGGCAGTACACAATGAGCAGTATAGAAAACATGGCTTGATTCCCCAAAGGACCCAGTTCCACCAAGCAAAAATAGAATACGGTCACAATCTTTGCCATCACGTTCAGCATGAAACATCTTTCATCGATGGAGCTTCTGCAAAATAGACCCAAGAACATAAACCGAGCAAGGACTGATTCGGTTTCAATACACGCCCACAACGTATAGACTCTGGGGATCGGATCAGCCTCTTCAACAAGCAAATAGATATAGCGACCCACAAGCCAACAGCCCAGCATCAACAAAGGCCCAAGCACAAGCACAGGGATGGCTAGTTGAACGAATCCCGCATGCCGAAGTTCGACTCCCTGCAAATGTGCATCTCGAAGTGCATCCGATGTCATGCCAGCCTTCAACAAAACTTGGATCACTTTGTCCACTTCATCAACCTGATCACCTATCTCATTCCGAATGTTCACCTCATCTTGAACTTCAGAGCATGATGCATGCCGAATGGAGCCTTGATATTGATTTCGCAATGCTGTCGCCTCTTGGGCTTCAGCTTGGCAGTTGATTCGGTCGACTTCAGCAAGTAAGAAATAGAGGGCAATGCAAGAGTGATTGCAATACTTTGTCACAACCAAATGTGCTGTTCTGCCAAGGAGTGGAAGATATTCAAATCCACTCACAAGTAACTGACCTCCGATGATAGCGGCCGCTGTACTGCCCAAACCCACGTGGTTGACAATCAACCACAGCCGCATCTGTCCACAGTTTTGACTCATAAGGCTCGCAAAAAGCGCAGTCATTCCTCACTTGCTTGCCTTAACCCGGAAACAGGTTTTGGTGTGGACACTGCATAATTAATTGTATTGACAAAGGGAAGCAAAGGTCATTAAACGTCTTTAAGTGTATATATATATATATAAATATATCGCGTATATATGACAAAAAAAGGTCACTGAAATAAAGCGAACTGAGATTCTCATTATCATTATGAACAGCTGGAATAACTCCATGTGCCCCACTTTGAACCAAACACCAACAATGAGACCCATCAAAAACGCAGGAAGCATCTTGAGCCAAGAAAATAACACTTCCCGCCAAATGGGAGGCGTAGCCGTTCGGATGATCTTGTTGCTTTGAAAGGCCAAGTAGGCTTCATACCCACACCACAACCTGGTGTAGACACTGTTATGCCGGTTGGGCACCACCAGCATGTATTTGGAACTCTGCAAAGCAAGCGCAAAGGGAGATGATGATGGAGACTGAAGCAAAGCACCAATATCCAAGTTCTGTGGATTTGCCAACATGCAGCACCAAGCATGATTTGCACGCCAAGGCCAGGATGTCAGAACCTTCTCAGTGAACTCAAACACATCTTCCTGCCACGCATGTGTGATGAACAAGTCGCAGTCAAGTCCTTCAGGATTCATCATCAACGCCCAGCTCATTTTGCCAGCAGCAGCAGTCACTGGCTTTATGTAATGTTCGTTCACTGAATAAATGCTTGGCCCATACTCCCCAAAGTTCTCCTGAAAGGTTTGGCCCTCTTGGATGGCTCTACGAATCTCAGATTGGAAGAACTTGAGATCAGCGAAGGTGATGCACCACCTCGCTGGGTGCAATGTTTCATGCAGTTCAATGGCTCGATTGGTCGGAAGTCGCTCCCTTGTCCGATAGGAAGCCAAGCTTTCCGACCGTCGAAATGAGGTCAGCATCTGCAAGGAGTTACCCGCCACAAAACACAAATAGAAACCGCCCCAACGTTTTTGGGAATGGTAGTTGTTCTTTCTAATTACTGAGGGTGGTCTGTGAATTTATGTACGTTGTGTTTTGTAATTTATTACGGTTCAGGATGTTGACTACTAATGAGAGGTTAACACATAGGGGGGGTTTACTAATGAGAGGTTGACATGTGAGACTCTTCATACTTCTTCTTCATGCCTGTGAGCCACCCTCACCTGGCCCAAAACGCTCCACCCTCTGTCTGCGCAATGCCTGGGTTCGCCCCAGTGTCGTTGCGGACGGCGGACGCAGCCAGGATCACACCCATGACATGTGTGTTTTTTGGGGGAAGAACCACTTATATACATCGCTCCACATGTGTTTTTTGCGGAACATCTGAATCTAATATAGACATTTCTTGGAACATCATGGAACCTCTCGTTGTTGAAGTATTCTCATGTAATTCCCCGAACATGTCACTCTATAATTGGAACCCGGGATGGCTGACACCACCGCTGAAACCTTCCACTTCTCAACACAAATCCCTAAAAAAGAGGGAACTCGTTGACTTGCAGGAACAGCAACTACATGCAAAACCTCAAGGCTTTGTTCATTACAAGGCTTTGTGTAGTGGAAGACATGGAGACCCCATATAAGTTAGCCTATCACATCCATCCTAACCAGTTCGTTTGGTTCGGTTCGTTCCTGACACATCCGGAGCACATCCATATGGCCAGCGGCATACACACCAGACCACCTGAGTCCAAACAAATCCGGAGCAAAGTCTGGAGCGCGATGGAACACAGCCTGGACATACACAGTCGCATCGGTGGCTTCTTAGATGTTTCTTGTCGATGAGGGGCTCCATATACAACTTGAGAGAGGAGGGAGTGAATGAAAGGTAGCAGGCAATCACAAGTAACCCTGGTAGAAGTCCATGACGGCGTGAACCGGCGCAGGGGGGACATTGGTGTGTGTGTCCGTTTGGTCCATCTACTCGCTCCCAACCCCGCTCGGATTTGAGGCGGTCTCGAGGCGGGGAGGCCGGTCGAGAGAAGAAGCGAGGAGAGGCGTGGCATTTGAGGCGTGCGGCGTCCATGCTATAGGAGACCTGTGGAGACCCCTCCAAGTCGAGTCGTGAACGGTAGAGACCAACCTGAGTCGGGCTTCGGCAGAAGGTGTCGCGGCGCAGCCCTCGAGATGTTTTGCTGGAAGTGGAGCTGCATTTGCCATTGATTCGTCACGGCTCAGTCTGTACAAGCTCTCCTTCCTTCAGTGGAGCTGTTCTGTGCCCGTACAGGGCATCGAGCAAGATGAATTAACAGGTCGCTGACTGACCCTCAAGTACGTATACCCAGTGGATCCCAGTTACCACTATATAAGGAACCAGGGGTTCTAGGTCTATGGTTTTAGTCTTTGGAACCACTGGTTACCAGCTAACTAGTGGATTGCCTGGATGCCCTGGGATACCTTTTGTCCATACCTGACCCCAATCAAGTGTCAAACTGACCTCTACCAGGACCTTCGAGCGCTTTTGGCGCTCCGGTTTCGGAATCCGAACCGTTCCGCTTCGATATGGTCTTCGGTGGGTGTGGACGGGGGGGGGGTCGAATATACCACCTTACCTGACAAGATGGGCAGCCTGAGGGGTGGACATCCAGGCGATTGGTAGACACTCAAACCGTGTTCGGGTCTTGGATGGTCTTGGTACCAGGGACCAAACCCCACGGGTTATCACATAATATACCAAAACGAGGTTTTTTGCTATGGAAAACCTGGTTTTTCATGGTTTGTGGGCCCCTGGTATAGGGTCCGTTCTGAAACCAGGCGGAACCTGTGTTCGGCCCACGCGAAAGCGCGTTGCGTGCGATGGATGTCTTGACAGCTTTCACCAGTATGGGGTTTCGCCCCACGAAATTCCAACAGGTGGAAGAAAACACAAGCTATTGTGTTCCAGGGAAACTGGGGGCTGAGGGAGAATTTACGGACACATCGAGATCATCGAGGACAGGGTCACCCAGCAGTTGTGCGAAACCTGGGTCTCTAAGAGAACCTAAGGCATCTCTCCAGCAGAATTGGACCTGAAAAGCCGGCCATCACACTAAAAATAGTAGACACATCGATGCATCTCCCAGTAGCCGGCGCATCCCTAGTAACAAGGGATGCGCTTACTACTAGCTAGAAGCTACTAGGTTGGAGGCCCTCGCTATTAGGTTGGAGGCCATTGCTATTAGGTTGGAGGCCATTGCTATTAGGTTGGAGGCCATTGCTAGTAGGTTCAAGGCCATTGCCATTAGGTTCAAGGTCATTGCTATTAGGTTCAAAGCCATCGCTACTAGCTTGGAGGCCGCTAGTAGGTTGGAGGCCGCAACAAGACGCTACGTAAGTAACAAGTGCATCGCTACTCGTTGCTTCCGCTACTTCTGCAACTCTCGGAGCCTGAGGTCTCGGACCCCGAGCCGCTCGGGTGACTGGCGGATGCGCAGCGCGAGCCGTCCAGCGCTCGAGCCGTGTGCAAGGTGGGCCCGACGAGACGTGACAGGAAGAATTGGGCCAAGAGCCTGCCACATGGTAACCTCAGGCTGCGAGTTTAGCTGCAGAATGAAGTCGAGTTTCGATGTTGAATACTTTTGAATACTTTTGATCATGGTCACCTCAATTGGGAACAGGTCGGAATTGGAATAACAGTGAGCCAATGCATATGTACAAATATTGCTTAGCTGTTTGACTCATGCGCAGTGAATAAGTTCGGGACAGACTTATAGATGTCAACATCTTGGGTCGCTTTGTCCTTGGAGGAAAGAAGCCAAGAACTATAGTATTTTGATGTATTTTGTGGATTTTGCGAGTAACTTCAATGTGCCGCGGATGCCCAAGGCAGCAAAGAACACCGCCACCAAGAAGGAGAGGCAATACACAGTGTGCAGCACGCAAAACATGGTTTCATTCCCCAAAGGACCCAGCTCGATGAGACAAAAGTAGAAGACCGTCACAATCTTTGCCATCACATTTAGCATGAAACATCGTTCATCGATGTAGCGTTTCAAAAGTAGACCCAAGAAGGCAAACCTAGCAAGGATTGATCCGAGTTCGATGCATACAAACCAGGTATAGACTCTTCCGAGCGGATGGCCTCCTGCATAAAGCAGAATTCGAACCTCAAGCCAACAGCCCAGAATCAACAAAGGCCCAAGCATAAGCACAGGGATGGCCAATTGCACGAAGCCCGCATGCCGAAGTTCGACTCCCTGCAAGTGTGCATCCCGAAGTGCATCCGACGTCATCCCAGCCTTCAACAGAACTTGGATTACTTTGTCCACTTCATCAATCTGATCACCAATTTCATTGCGAATGTTCACCTCATCTTGAACTTCGGAGCATGACGCGTGCCGAATTGAGCCTTGATAGTGATGTTGCAATGCTTCTGCCTCTTGCGCTTCTATTTGGCAGCTAACTCGGTCGACTTCAGCAAGTAAGAAGTATAGGACGATGCAAAAATAGGAAGCATACTTGATGATAGCCAACAGGTTTGTTGTCACAAGAGTAAGGTAGCTAAATCCACTCAGAAGTAACTCACCTCCGATAATGGCGGCCACACCACTGGCTAGGCCTAGATGGTTGGCAATCAAACACAGTCGCATCTGTCCACAGTGTTGACTCACCAGGCTCGCGAAAAGCGATAGCATTCCTCACTTTGCCCGGCTTAGGGTCAGAGCAGGGTTTAGATAGATTCCTCCCACATGGTTTGGACGCTGTTAACCCAAACCAAACCATTTGGAGGAATCTATCTAAATCCAAATCCAGTGTCTATTATAGTGGATTAACCCAAATTAAGCAGAACAAAAAAGTCATTGATCTTGACAAACTGAGATTCTCATCAGCAGTATAAACCGTGTAAACACTTGCGTACCAACAGCGGCACCAATCAGCAGTGCAGGAAGCATCCTGAGCCAAGCAAGTAACACTTCTCGCCAAATGGGAGGCGTAGCCGTCCGAATAATCTTGTTGCTTTGAAAGGCCAAGTAGGCTTCATACCCACACCACAACCTGGTGTAGACACTGTTATGCCGGTTGGGCACCACCAGCATGTATTTGGAACTCTGCAAAGCAAGCGCAAAGGGAGATGATGATGGAGACTGAAGCAAAGCACCAATATCCAAGTTCTGTGGATTTGCCAACATGCAGCACCAAGCATGACGTGCACGCCAAGGCCAGGATGTCAGCACCTTCTTGGTAAACTCAAACACACCTTCCTGCCACGCATGTGTGA